TGGGGAGGAAATTGTGTAGATAGGCTCGGGACCGTAACCTGGAGTAGAGGAATGGGAACATCGAACAAGTACTTTTCTCATGTGCACCATGACGATCGCAAGATGTCTGTACTGCTTTCAATGCAGACACGGATCCCACCCAACTTCTGAAGTAAGGCAATGCTTTTACAGCGAGCAGACGTGACAGCACGACGCTTGCAAGTGACCATAACGCCGCGTGGTATACCCTCCAAACGAGCCATAACGCCGTGCCAAATCACAAACCCAAGTGCCTTGGGACCACAACTACAAGTCGAATCACCACCTGTCGGGTCGTCTACCTCTGCCCCGAGACCGATCCGGAGGGTCATCGGGCAGCCTCTCACCCCTCCGCCACTCTCCCTCGGGAAACCCACCGTCTCCAAACCCAGAGCGCCGCCGGTCTCTGTCCCAGCCTTGCCGTCCCCCGAACCCAGTGTCCCGACGCGGCCCCTGCGACGGCGGACCACCCATCGGGCCTCTCACACCGCCAAACTGCCCCGCCGCTCTATCGTTCCACGCAGTCAGGGCCGGCGCCACCGAGCCGTCCGGCAGCGGCGGCAATATAGCGCACGAGACGTAATCCCCGACCACGAAGTTGACCTCCTTGAGCGTCTTGTCCTTGGCCGAGTCAGCGTCGTCGGGTTGCTGGGCGCCGCCGCCGGACATGTCGACGTCGTCTGCCCCCTCCTCCTCCTCGCCATCGGTGGCTAGGAGCGCCTCCGCCGTGCCGTCCCCAAGCACCACGCTCCCTAGGTCCTTGACCATGAATCTTGGCCCCTGCGCGTGTCCGTGGTGATGGTGCCCTCCCGCGTTGGCTGCCGCATTTCGGGTATCGGGGTAGATGAGGCGGAAGGCGAGCCTCGTGCCCACGCAAGGGCTCGGTAGCAGCGCCGGGTCTTCAGCTGTGATGAGCTCGGCGAGCTCGTCTAGGGTACAGTCGGGCCATGTGTAGAGTGACAGGAAGGGCGGGAGGCTCCTCGAGGCGAACTCGTCTGTCCTATGTTGGTCTGTTAGTACGGAGAATAGTATCAGGCATCAGGGAGGCTCGACGTACCTGTGAAATGACCCGTTCTTGTAGAAAAGCTGCAGAAGGAATGGCGTAGTATCCTCCCGCTGATGGGAAGCCATGCCGAAGACCGTCAACTATAGCCAACCCGCGTTTCGGTGGGAAGAAGAGACGACGTCGGGGAGTACGAATACGTATACTCGTCTGTGTGGAGTATTCGTAGTGAAAACAAGCTCGATGGTTCCTTTTTGACAAGCTCCAGGCCCCCAGGTCCCCTTGCGACGAACAGGTACAAACAAGCACCGTTTTAGGCCCCCAAAAAAGGGAATCAAACGGGGGGTTAGAAAAAAGAGGAGGGAAGCGGGAACTAGTTCAAAGCTGCTGCATTGTGTGTGTAAGAAGAGTGTGTGAGTACGTATTGCGGTGTGTGAGTGGTCGTGGTGTGCGTGGACGAAGAGGTGCGGGCGTGCGTCCCTCCCGACTGGAGTCAAGGTCGTAGGCGAGTGAGGCTGTGCAAGTTAAGCGCGATCTTCCAAAGCTTCCATGCATGGATCGTCCACCACACGCAGGGCGCCGTTCCCGAAGACTAAGCTTTTTCTAATTGTCAATCCGGCAACGCTTTATCCGGTTTTCTACCGTTCTCGTTTGACGACATCTCATCGACGTGGAGGCGAGTTCTGCTCTTGAACAACACACGACGGGAAGACTGGTGATACCCACGACCGAACGGACCCACTCGAGACACGCGAGACACCACCAGGCAGTGACCATAGTAAAGCCCGACCGACGACAGCAGCAGCGAACCGACGCCAAGATGGACTTTGCAGCCCTCATGTCCAAGGAGCTGGACAAGTCCAAGAAGCCCACTTCCACAGCAGCAGCAGCCTCCTCCTCATCGAAATACATCAAACGAGCCGACGTCGAAGCGAAACGCAGGGAAGAGTATCTGGCAGAACAAGCCCGCGTCGAGGCCGAGCGAGAAGCCAAAGCCGCCGCGAAACGCAAGCGCGAGGAAGACGACGCGGCAGAGAACAAAATTCGCGAGGAGAAGCGACAAAAGCTCGCCGAGGAGTCACGGCGGCGGCGCGAGGAAAAAGAAGCCGAGGAAGAACGCGCGCGGCGGAAGCGGCTGGGGCTGCCCGAGCTCGTCAAGGCCACGGCCGAAGACGACGACGATGCCGCCGTAGAAGAGGGCATGGAGGACATCCCCGACGGACAGCTCGCCGAGAAGCTACGCGCGCTGGGCGAGCCGGCGACGCTCTTTGGCGAGGGCCACGGCGCGAGGCTGAGGCGGTACAGGCGGCTCACGACGGTGGTGACAAAGGGCCCCATCCCGACGACGCTGCAGCTCGTGGAGGAGAAGGACATGAAGGTGGACGCGGCGGTGCCCAAGGACAAGGAGGGTCGGCGGTGGCTGTTCCGGCAGCTGGCTTCCTACTTCACCATGGTCCTGGCCGAGTACGAAAAAGCAATGGAGGCGGAACGGCGCGACACGACGGCCAGCAAGACGGCATACAGCGCCATGGTGCAGAGTCGTGAGAACCTCAAGCCGGTATGTCCCACACACACACACACACATTTATCAGACAAGCATAGACTAAACTATCGTTGCAGCTCTTCCGCAAATTCGAAAAGTACGACCTCGACGACGACCTCCTCGCGCCCATTATCGAAATCGTTAAAGCCGCGCAGGAACGCCGCTACGTCGACGCAAACGACGGCTACCTCCGCCTCTCCATCGGCAAGGCCGCCTGGCCCATCGGCGTCACCATGGTCGGCATCCACGAGCGCAGCGCCCGCGAGAAGCTGCACGACGGCGAGCGCGGGCACGTCATGGGCGACGAGGTCACGCGCAAGTACCTGCAGAGCATCAAGCGCCTCCTCACCTTTGCGCAGGTCCGCTGGCCGCCCACCGACGTCCGGCAGTTGATGGGATGATTTTTTGCGCATTACTGTACGCGCGCCAGAGGATTACGTGGATTACGAATACATCACGATCGCCGAGTCACTCCGTTTGGTGTCAATTGCGCCCTGCCCATTTAGTTCCCCCCCGAGGACGAAGGGTGGCCCCAGATGGAGGGACCGAGACGGCAACGACAAGGGAAAAAAAAACAAAACTCTTTTCGAGACTCCTGGGCGTGTCCCGGATCGCGAATCCGGATGGAACTCGAACGGTGGTTGAGGGTGGGAACACGGAAACTGGGCAAAGTCGCATGCCATGCCCCCTCCCCTCTAACCCCCTTACTGCTACATCCTCTCCCCCTCTTCTCGTCACTTCTGGAGCCAACATCACGCCCATTGTTACTATCTTGCTCATACAGACAGCTCTTTTCCATTTCTAGCGGATGTATTTTACTCCCGGTTCATCGGGAACTTATTCCACCACACGGAGGATACCTCGGGGAGAAAGAGAGGGGAGGGGGCGCACCAGAACCCGTCAGCAAGGCGAAAGCGAAGCGCGATTATGGGCCATGCTGTCTGTGCCTGGCTCGCCTAGGTGGATGATGATGGATCCAAAATGATCCATGCATCATTGACGATGTCGGATATGGTGAGGGGGGGGGACTATGAGGGGGGCCAGAAAGAAAACCACCCCCCAGCAACACAAAGACCAGGGGTGGACGAACTGCTTGAGGAAAACCCTACGGACTGCCTGATGCAGGCTAGGTAGGAGCAGCAAAAAGAGAATAATAATCCCAAAACCCACCGTAAAAGGAAAAAAAGTTGAACCATGAGTTTTTGATCGCACACCCTCCCTCCCCTCCCCCCTCTCCACCCTCCAGGGATTCGGAGCAAGGTCTCCAAAAGAAACCCCTGTCTGATGAAATGCTGGTCTTTTGCGTGAGAGAGAAGCGCCGTGCGGGCCCCTCCTCTATCTACCCTGTCACCCTTGACCCTTGCGCCTTGTCCCCCCCCCCTTCTTCTCTCTTCCTCGGCTGGAGACCCATTTTGTAGACTCACCGGCTCTTATTTGCGGTATCCTATTTTTTTCTCGGGTGATTATTTGGGTGGACGCACTACCTACTTACTTTGCCCTGAGGATATGTACCGTAGAATGAAGGGGGGAGTTATTTCTAGCGAACGGGGAAAACTTAGAAAGCCCACAAGATTGGAGCCCAGGTGATCGATCATTACAGAAAAAAAAGGCTTCAGCTAGTCTGTATCTGTATTCGTACTCTATTATCCTTTGAGGAGAGGGGAGGGGGAGTGACCACCTAGCTAGACGAGGAACCGAACTGGCACTGTGCAGAGAAACACTTTTTGCCAAGACCCCGAGGCGATATAAGGGTCGGGTATCGTTCATAAATCCGTCGGCAGGGTAAGCTTAACTTTCTGCGTTAGGCCCGAAAAGAGCAACTAGCCGTAGGGCACAGTTCGGGCGAAGTGCAATCAGGTGGCTTGCATAAACGATACAGAGAAGAGAGAGGGTGCATTATTCCCGACCATTCCCGAGCACGACAAGACAATCGCTTCAATCGACGGAAAACCATATTCTCTTGACACATTTCTATGCCTGCTGCGTAAGCCTCAATCTATCGGCCCCGGGGATCCCGCGATCAACACCGCCGCCTGTTGCTTTAGCCGCTCCACCGTCCCAGCCGCTGCGTGAAGCTCCATGCCCGATCCCAGTGGCTAATGACATGCCTAGCACAAAAGTGCCATGACGTCTGAATGATCCCACGGCACAAAAGACGTGTTGGCAGGCGTACGTATGCTTTTCCTTTGAGATAGCCAATGACCTGTCGCGAAACCGCCCAGTCTGCACCTCTGCATTGGCAGTCGACCACCCGAATATTTTAGGCTTTTGCGACTACGGCGCCAAGGTGGATCACCAAAAGTGCCCCGGTTGTCAGCATTTCATTTGCATGCCCGCGGCGTGCTGCAGCTCTCGCGTCCGACCCACGGACAAGCACAACCACTCGGCCGGTATCACCGTCACCGCGCGGCCCGTCGCCGCCGCATCGGAGGGCCATCAGCTCATGTTGTCGCCGCCCGCGCCGCCGGCCACCGTCGGTCGGTTGGACTGCTCAAACCAGAGCTCATCGATGCCCTGCGCACCGGCATGGGTATTACCCTTGCGCATGGTCTTGACCTCCATATCTGCCGCAATGATACTCATACGCCGGATCCGCTCCGTGGCGTCCCGCTCGTAGGCATCAATCGTGTCGAGGACCATCCTTTGCAGCGTGGCTCGGGGGTTCGGAGACACGGCGACCAACGTCTTGTGGCTCGTGCGTTAGCACACGGTGCGATTTCACACTTTCGGGGGCCGCGGAAACTCACCTTGTCAATTGTGTTGATGCGGGCCTGCAAAACCCCGCCCCGGATCATGGCGACGAGCTCGTCAATGAGCGGCTTGCCGGGTACGGCAAATGCATCCTCGAGGCTGCTCAGAGTGACGCAGGAGAAGGGGATAAAGTACTGTACGATACACTTGCTCCGGATCTGCGAGTAGAGCGTCGGGACGTGCTTCTGGAGGTAAATGTCGAGTAGGTAGTCTGCGCGATACGCCTCCAGGATGGCCAAGCACGCCGAGTACCGGCCATTCACAAAGAGCGAGATGGCCTTGCGGATGTGAGGTTCCAATTCCAAAAACGTTCTAAAGTTCTGGTTGTCGAGAACACGAGCCTGGAGCTCTTTCCGGTCCATGGTTGCCAGAGCCAGGAGGCCACCGTACACTGCCACATCGTTGGGGCTCGCGATATTGCTGTAGTCCACTCCCTCTTTGCCGGCATCCGTCTGCAGGAAGCTTTTGGCCGCCTCGTCAAACTTCTCGAGCCCCATGAGGGCGATGCCCTGGACGATCTTGACGTAGGGTTGCAAGCCCTTTTCTTCGTCGCCGTTTTGGACACCCGTGATCTTGCTCAGATTGGCAATGACCATGGGCCATTCCCGACGCTGCAGCGTCACGTTGACGAGATGCTTGCCAACGTCGATGATGTGCTTGGATGTGCTCACGTCTGGGCGCATCCGGCTGTAAGCCTCGCCAGCGCTGTTAAGGTCGCCGATGCTTTCAAAGTGACGGCCCAGGTCCTCGTTTCCCATCTGGCATCAGTTAGCCCTGGAGCATGTGTGCATGGTAATGTCTGTACAGACCCGAATGCTCTCCTTGATCAGGTTCATCTTGTAACCCTTCAACTCGCCCTCAAGGGCGTGAGTTTTGGCATTGTTGGCCCTGTCCGTGAGCTCGACCCATGACTGATCGAATGTGGCTTCAGGCTCCAAAGGAGCGGCCACCTGAATCAACTCAACGACATCGCGGTAACGCTGCGTATCTTGACCCTTCTTAGCCTCTGCGACAGCAGCCTTGAGAGCGTCGACACAGAGCGGCACGCATGTCCGGCCGATGAGGAAAAGACGTTCAAAGCGGGTACGGCCTGTGGCAGTGGTGAGAAGCTGTTCCCCCCTGGAGGCGGCGGAGCCTTGGCACGCGGGCAAAAGGGGGCGGAGACGCGGGGAGGCTGAGCGTGCGTGCGGGCAGTGGCACTGCGGCAACGGCAGCAGGGCGCAGTCTACGAGAAACAAGGTTGAGACGGGCTGTGGTAGGAAACATCGTACCTGTGTAGTTCTGGATGTACAGATCTAGATCTAGCTTTGGGGTATCTGGAGAGTGGCAGCGGCCGTTAGCAAGGACGCGCGTCTTGGCACTGACTTCCTATTCGAGACAGGTCGGATAGGGCCGTTTCGGTGTAGGGAGAGACAGCGAGGTGAGGGAGGCGAGGAGAGGAGAGGAGGCTCAGCTTGGACGACGGAGACGCACCTCTGACAATGACACCTCCCTGATCGTCCATCTGGGTGAAGAAGGTGAGCAGAGCGTTGGAGTCAAGGCTGGCGTTTGCGCTAGCGGCAGCCATTCTGGAGATTGCGATATCGTATCAGGCGACTCGAGTTGATGGAGCCGTGCAAGATTTTGGCGGATCTCGAAATAAGTCAGCAGGGGCCAGCAGTGAGTGAATTGAAGAATGAAAGGTGTTAGGCGACACGGCGTACGGGGATGTGTGCCGGGCGGGTGAGAGCGAGGTGCGGTGGCCGATGTCACCGATGGCGGGTTAAAGTTGGCCTAAAAAGGATTGGGGGGTGGATGTGGTTGTGAATGGTGGAATGCGTGGGTCATCGGGAATGAGGGGCTTTCTGGTCTGGTCTGGCCGGGCAGGTCAGGGTCGAGGTGTTTGGACTTTGGACTCTTTGCTTTGGAGTCGTTGGGCCGTTCGTGGGACAGACGGGGGGCCAGTGACATTTGGGGGAGAGGGGCCGGTGCCTGTTGCAAGGTACCAGGCGGGAAGGGAAGCTCGTGGAAATGGAAGTGAAAGGACTCGTGGAACACTCACCAGCTCCTGGAACTTGCCGCTTTCTGTACGTTGGGGCAGTGTGTGACTCGGGGGGGCCTGGCCTGGCAGCTGCGCTCTGCACTCTGCAGAGATGAGAGGGATTTAAAAAGCCCAGTCGTATTGTATCTGTCGCACTAGGCGTATCTGCGTGTCCGGGTTACTCTGAGAGAGAGTGTGTGGTGATGAGCAAGGCTGTGGGTGTATGGAGGAGGGAGAGCAACGATGAGCTCTCTGACAAACAGCAGGACGTCAACGGTCGGTACGGAGTACGGGAAGGTAGGTAAGGTACCTCAGCAAATGAATGAGCGCCAGAAACGGTACGTAGCTGGTTGTTTTTTGCGGGGTAATCGATACAGAGGCGAGGTAGCTTTGGGGCCCGGTCCGTTCTATCGTAGGTAGCGACTGCTCAGTATCTACCTAGGTACTGTGTGGTACGGTACCCCAGTCTCCAGGGCAGGTACAAGTGCAAGTGCAATTTGATCAAATAACTCATGTCGAGGCACCCCATGGGCCCATTCAAAGTGTATTGCAAATGTAATGTAAAGGAGCAGGCAGCAGCGACAAAAGTAACAAAATTAGAATATCCCCAAAAAATGACAATGGCGATCGTGTCGAACTGGTGCGCAGATGATTGGTAGATGCCAGCCCGATACGGCAGTCGGTCGATCACTGGGATTAAGGGACAAAGTCTTGGCGATAAACTGTCCGTAAATGGAGCTTTACCCAAGGTATCCGTACGCAGTACTTCGTACACATGTATCTGTACGGAGTATGGGTGGGTGGTCCATCAAACTGATCAGAGACTGTATTCTCTATTCCTTTGCTAATGAAGAGAGGCGAGTGATTGTGACGGGGCCGAGAAGCAGATTGCAGACAGCCGTGAGATTTGCTCTCGAGTCCAACGAGACTAGGAACCTCTAGCCTCTCACTTTCACCAAGCATCTCGTTATCTAGACAATCCGCATGGGGAAAGCTAAGGTAGTTGGTCTCTCACCTTTAGCTGTATGCCGTATCCGTACCAATTTGCTCATGGAAGCGGCACCCGCACCCTGCGCTCCGTTCGCCCCTGAGCCCGCTGGTGCACTGATTCGTTTGATGACCGAGCTTGAAAAGGGTTGATTGATGGAGAGTAGATGGTGATGTGCCAGCAGCGCAGCATTGGGATTGGGCCAGCTCGTTCGGGATTCCTACCTCAGCAAGGGCCAGGGACAGGCCGCCTGCATCGTGGCCGGGACTCGGAGCAGAATCCAAATCGAAACCGCTCAGCAACCTGCAGACGGGCTGCAAGCAAGGCATACCACACGACAGTTACCACACCACACCTGAGCCACGAGCTAGGAGGTGTGCTCGGTAAGGCCAACACCAGTACGTACCCACAGTGACAGATACAGGGGTCGGTAGTTGGCCGAGGGTCTGTTCCTAGAGGACGAGGGGATGGGAAACTTGGGATGTCGAGGTGTGTTGTGCTTGCGGCTGCTTGCTATAGGCGATGCGCTGCAGGCTGTGGTTTTACACAATGCGTGGCTCCTTGGCCAGCCCATCTTACGTGGACAGGTTCTGTGGTCGCTGGTGCTTAAGATCGATGCCGTTGATCTCGAGTCATCCAAGCTTAGTTTCCGCTCAAGAGATGGGCTTGATCTTGACTGGCCTGCGTTGACGGGCCTCGAATTGCAAATGATCCCTGCATGGCAGTCTCAGATTCAGCTCGAGTTTCCAGTGTATGATTGTATAGGCGACAGCCCTGATTTGACAAAGATGTCTGGCGTCTAAAGGTTGTGCCGTCGGGGCAATTCTGGACTCTCTGTTTCTACCGTATGACTGAGAGGGAATAAAAGATGGAGTGCAATGGCCAGGTTCGGGCCCAAGGTTCAAGCTGGGATTAGTAGGGCCGGAGCAAGGTCAGGGTCCTGGAGGAGTAGGATTGAGTGTGGTAGTGCGTCCTTGAGCGGTCGGCCTTGGGCCTGTCAGGTTATGGATTATGAGCTCGACGGATACCATGGCGGGACGACTGCGAAGAGAGGCGAGCAGAAGAAAGAGAGAAAAATAAATAAAAAGGTTAGGTTGAAAGTGTCAGAGCAAAAGTGCCTTGTGAGTCGAGAGTCATGAGGGTATCCATAACGAGGCCCAGTGACATTGGACGTTTTGATGGGCGTTGGACTGCCCGCGCCTGTGTCAGGAACGCCTGCTCGGGACATTCCATGATTGTGCAGCTTTCAAGCCGCAAGCCGACCGCCTGGCTCCCAAGAAGTGGGCGCTGTGGCTATTGTCGCGTCACTCTTTGGTGGGCCGAGTTGCAACTTGTGAGCACTGAGAGAAAAGATAGGTAATCCAGGTCGTAGCGTTCCGGTCGGGTCGGGTGGCCCCTGCGCAGGTACTCTGATGTGTGTACCTATCTGTACTATCTGTACAACCTGGAAAGGCGCGATAGCTTTTAGCCGGGACTGACTGAGATGACGATTCCGATACATCAGACACGAGACAGGTAAAGGATATGAGCTGGCGACAGTGAAGCAGACGGGTCGGATCCAAAAGATGAGTGGCTCTCTCTGGCACATTGGTGCTAGCCATACCTTGGGACGAGGACGGGGCGGCTGCCCATGGTCTGTGTCTGTGTCTGTGTCTGCGTCTGTTGGCACTTTGCAGGTAGGTTTCCCACCAGTCTATCCGTAAGGTATTGGTACCTTATTACCATGTGGGATGAGGTGAGGTGAGGTAAGGTGCAGGTGAAAGATACGTATCCTGGCGCCTTTTAGCGACGCCCGACTGGGAAAGTGTAGGTGAGGTGGTTTGCACCCCCGTCTCGTCTCGTCTCTTCCTGGGAGGTGGCCGGGGGTGTGTTGTTGATTGAGGTGAGGTAAGGTAGGAAGGTGTTGTGTGTGTTGTGCCTTCCCTCTTGTTGCTCGCTCGCACTGTGACTTGTCCATACAGTGCGCCCCATAATAATCTCGACTTCTCGTCTCCTAGTGGCCAGCACATGCATTGAATGGCCTTTTCTCTCTCTCTCTTGCACGAAATTTTGCGGAAATAACGAGGACGGGCGAACCGCAAAAGGGCGCGCGCGCGAGGGGAAAGAAACCTAAGGTAACGTGGCCCGTTTCCTTGATTTTTGTCAGGCCAATGCCAATCCGTTCACTCCTGGGGGCGTGTGTTTGCAAGGCCCATTGGATTGCAAGAGAGAGGGAAGGGAAAAAGGGGGGGGGGGGGCAGCCAAGTGCCTGCGGTGTCTGTCTGTGGTGAGTCGGCGACCGACCGAGGGCGTCTTGGGCCAGTTTTGCAAGCAAAAAAACCGCGAGAAAAACGCTGGCAATTGGCAGTATCTAGATCTGTTTGATATCCAAAAGAGGCTCTCTGATATTCGATGCATGTTGTCAAGACAAGCGCAAGCGCGAAGGGGCGGGGTGGAAGTCTTGGCAAACGAAGGAAATCGAGCGTGCCAAGACTTTTGAGACCCAGGAAGCTCTTGCCTGCTGTCCCGATTCCCTGATGTGCCGCCCCTTCCATGCGCCGTCTGTACCGTCTGTACTCCGTACCTACTGCCCCCCGCTCTTGGGCTGACGCGTTTTGGTGGGAGTGGGAGTGGACGACCTTTTTTTTTTTTTTTTTTTTTTGGGTTTGCTGGGCAGGCAGGCACCCACGCCGAGCACCTTCCACATGCCCGCACCTCACCCGCGGACCACCTCCCTTCCAGCCCGGTCAGCCCAGCGGTGTCGAGGTGTGGCACCGTGAGGTGGTTCCTCCCTCCTCCACTCCCCCATTCACCACTCACCATTTACCACCCACCCCCAGTCCAAGCACACCCCAGGGACTCTGCTGGTCTCCCACCATGGACCAAAAAGCACGCCAATCTGAGAGCATCTCACCCGCCAAAAGAGAAATCTCGTCGTCAAAATATACCACAGACACGTCCCCAATGACGGATGCCAAGACTTCAGAACCTCATCGTTCCCTCAGCCCTGGGCCCTGTTCCTCTGTAGGGCGGTCCATTTTGACAACGTCCCGTCCGCCATGCGACGGCAATCCACAAACGAAGCCCTTTTCGAATATTCCATGCGTTTTCCATCCCACCGGTCTGCATTCGCTTCGGCCTTATGGGGAGGGAGGGGGTCTCAAGCTGAAATGAATCTCGCGATGCCACCAAGTACAAGACGTACAAAGTACGGAGCTCCCGCAAGATAGCCAAGAGTCTCCGGGGGCACCAGGGAGAGCGAGGGGAGGGGGAGGGGAATCAACCCCCAAAAATCGCTGGCGATAAACCCTCGGTGTTCCAAGAGGGGCGTGAGCCATGTGCCCACACAAACACAAACCAGACCAGTTGCTTCATGACACTCGTCCAAAGAGCCGTCGGTCAAGACCGTTTACTCGCCTTCGCCGCCATCGTTGTCGTTGTCGTCGTCGTCTCCTCTTGGCCCTTGGCAAGCGCCCTCCCACGCTCAAGAGTCTCGACTCCCAGCAACGTGCTCGCTTTGGTTCCCCGCCGCCCCCTGCTTCGCTTCCACATTACACACCTCGACAGCGGTGGCCTTGGTTGTGTCGTACACACAAATATCGCGGAATCGCTCTGATCTCTCCACCATCGCGATGCACACACAAACGAGGTATTGGACCCTCGATCCCGACCTCGGGAAGATTGCGGCGTGCTGTTCGGGTTACGAGTGGAGACCGAGAGAGGGGCGCTAGTCGCAGAGGAAAAGGCAATCGCAGATTGATGCTGTCGTCGAACCATGAGAGGACATGACTGGGCCACTCGCCCAAAGTGACTGAGCTCCGTAACCATACCTACCGCCGCCATTCTCATGCCATGGTATAGGATGGACAAAAGGCTGAAGGCTCACGGGCGACGGGGCCGTGGGCTCGTTAGCAGATCCACGGACGGTTTGAGCCAGCAGGCTCTGCCCCTACATGTTGGAAACCGAACCTGCGTGCCAGTGCCTTCTTGGAAGCGTCCTCCGCCAACTCGCGGGACCGACTGTTTCGATGAGCCTTAGCACTGACAAACTCCCAGGTGTAGGGGTTGGCGGGTGGTGACAACTCGGGCTCTCAAGCTTCTTTTTCTTTTCCCTAGGTTCCCTTTTGCGCGCTGAATTGATCATTGGACTGGACTAGGTGCAGCAATGCCCGCAGTGCATGAGGGGGTCCTCCCCGTCGAAGCTCAAACGGGGGTCCTCCTGGGAAGCACCTCCGAACCAATAGCATCCCGCGTGTTCCGTCAACTGAGAACCCAGGCCTGGCGTATGAGTTCAATAAGTCAGCGTTGACTGAGATGAGAGCCTGACTTTTCATTTCACCCCCGTTCCAGCTACCGACCCTTGTGAGAGGGAACAGGTACCAAAAACAAAGGCAATTGAGGTGGTCTACCGACCGAGTATCGACTGGCAAAGCAAGACAAAGCGCCCTTGTCTATTGAAGTCTCCAAGTCTCCAAGCAGCTACGAAGACTTGGCCTACGCTGTCGGGTCACAACGGGCGTGACGGGCACGACGGTCACGTACCGGCGACTGGTGGTGGACCGTCAAACTTGGAGGCTGGAAGCGACGGATCTACCGGACGAGGGCGGGATGATTCATTCCGTGGCGGTCTGCAATTGCGGTACGGGACCGAATGGCACGGAAATCCAAGCCAACGGTTGGTCTTGAGCAAGATTTGAAGACAACAAAAATACACAAAGGGTAAAAAGGCATACGTACCCCCGGTTCCACCCTGCATCCAAACGCATGCACGAACGCCGCTGGCGCCGCATAGGTTTTTTTTTTTTTTTACCCTTCTCTCTCTGCAAAGTATTCCATCCCCCCCTCTTCAACATACCAAGACTCCAACACCAACTACGCAAAGCATGCATGGCCTTGCGAGTCGCAACTGACTGACATATAGATTCTATGCAGTAGTAGCATCGGTTCGACCAAGTGGAAACTGGCCCATTCACACGTCCCTTTTCATCGGTTCCAGATGCATCTCCATTTGAGCAAAAAACTGGGCTGCATTCCATTCCCGAAGGAACTCCGCCCTTTTTCCTTTTCAATTCCTCTTTTGAGCAAATCAACCGGGGCCGGGTAGGTACTCGACTCGCTCGCCCGTCCCGTATACGCAATACTATTACTCTCTTCCTATCTACCGCAGATATTCTGATTACTCGCCGACTGGAGACGCCTGCGCATGCTCGGTGCTCACAGAGTGGCCTTCGCGCGCGGTATCCGTACAGACCATAAAATATCCTCAAAGGCATGTCGCCATCTTCAATGGCATGTTTTGCCCACCGCAACCCTCTATTCACAACACAATCAGAAGCCCAGCACCTAGTCCCGTTCGGAGTCTCTTGCAAAAGAACCCTTCCCATTTCGATCGCAGATGGCACGCACCGGATAGCACTTACTAGTGACCCGGTCTCTTTTAACTCAAGATTGCCTAGCTCGAGTTGCTTAAGATAGAAGCCCCAGCGAACTCGGATCTCGTCATTGGGCTGTCCACTAGAACGGGCGCTTTTAATACGGGAACAAGCGTGGCCCTTGGAACGCGGAGCTCAAGTCACCACCAATCCCGACAGAAGCGAGAGTCGAGAGTCGAGACTGGGAGTCAATTACTGCCAAGTTATTCAGACCATTGATTGTCACTGCCCCGACTGCCCATTGAGTGAGCAAGTGCTATCCTGAACAGAGGTCAAAGTCAAAAAGTCGCAGTCGCATGCAGGCAAGGCAGCCGCCAGCCTCACAACCCTGAGCTCTTCTTCGTCCGTTTTGTTTCGTCTTGGCTTTCCGCACATTTGCTGCAGCATCCTCGTTCCTCCCACTCCTCCCAGCGGAAAGGTACATGCAGACAAAGAGCAACCACAGCACCTCTTACACGCTCTGTCGTCCAAGGTAATCCGTAGTCAACTACTCATATCTATTGCGTACTAAGGTAGGTAGACAATGGATTTCATTCAGTACAATGTACCTTCCGCGGAGTTGCTCTGCCCATTACAACAACTCTCACTACCTGTCACAGATGGTAGTCCCAAAAATGACTGCCGTCCATCTTCTGCCATCGTACTGTCTGTACCTTACCTCCCATGATCCAAATCCCCTGCTAATACGCCCCCCCCCCCTCCTGGTCCCCCGTCGGCGGGCCCTTTCTTGGTGCAGTTCCCAGTCTCTCCAAGTCTTGTCCCTATGATGCTTCCGCCCACCCCCCAAGGGTACCAAGCCATCCCAAGCCATGCTGTTGCGAACTTACTGTTGCTGCTGCTGCTTCTGGCAGTTGTACTGCTCTCTCTCTCTCTCTCTCTTGTTGTTCTGCTCGCCTTACCTTAATTCATGTTGGCTTATTGGCCTACCTACTTGATCTGCCTTATGGTCGCCCCTGTTCATCGTCCATGTCCATGTACGGACTACTTCCCACGGATAGTGTACATGCCTCTCTCTCTCTCTCTCTCTTTCTTGAGTCTTCCTTTCCCCCCTCGGCCTCCACCACCACCACCTCACCCTCGTACCGATCCCTATCGCCTTTTCGTCCTAGCTTCCCCATCCCCCTTTGCGACGGTTTCGTATTGTCTCCGTTCCCTCTCTTGTTGACCCTATCCACGACCTCAGTTGGTGACCTAGAGACACCCCCTCCTCTACGATGAAGAAGAAGAAGAAGAAGAAGAAGCACCACCACCATCCACCATCCACCATCCACCATCCACCATCCAGCACCATCATCACAGCCAGGGGCCTACCCGCTGCCCGCCAGATCGTGGTCCACGTCCTGCGTCCTGCCCCGTGTGTCGAATACGTATCTTTCGACCGCGCTACTGGAACTTGGGACTGCGGGACTACCTTACACCGTGCGGGACCATATTCCCCATACCCTCGAGTCGTGTACTCTGCTGTCTCAACCAACCCCGGCCGAGACGCTACCTACCCGCTACGTAATCCATCCTATTCCTCGCGCTCAGCTTTCCGCGCGACTTACACACCTGCCCTGGCCTCACACACACTCTCTCTCTCGCTCTGCCTATGGCCCTGCAACGCTGCTGCACCGCTGCTTCGTACCGCACCCTGCTCGGCCTTAAACAAGGGCCCTTCCACCCCCCCAGCTGCGGCTTGCCCAGACGAGCCCAGCAAAGAGGCAAAAGATCCCCCGGCTTCCCTCTGGTCTTCCCGTTTTTGTTTAAACTTATCTTCCTTCCATCCCCCGCGAAGTCTTGGCACACGTTTCGTTCTTCTCATGTTCAAGACTTGATCAGTCCGAAAGCCGTTCCTAGCGATTGGGTTGGCTTATCGGACCACGACCCTTGTACTATCAAATATGCAAAGAGCTCGTCCTCCATAACTGCACTTACACCGAGAACCGGGTGCTCACCACCACCACAACCACAACCACAACCAACACCGCCATCTACCTTACCACAACTATTGTCAGCTTCCTGAAGCTTACCCCAGGACAGCTCCAACGGGCGACCTGTTTTGTCGACTGCCAAAATGAGCCCTCCGTCTCAGCCTGCCAAGGCCACCACCAACAACAACAGCAATAACTCACCTCCAGACTCCCACGCTTCCGGCAACATGTCAGACGACGAGTCCGCAGCCCCTTCTGCCAATGGCTGGCCAGTCAAGGAGCCGCCATCTCCAAGTGGAAGTGCTCATTCTGGTTCAGACATGGACGAAAAGCCTGGCGAAGCTGGATCCAACGCCCCTGTGCAGAAGCGTCGCCGTGTAACCAGAGCGTGCGACGAGTGCAGGCGCAAGAAAATCAAGTGTGATGGCAAGCAGCCTTGCACCCATTGCTCAGTCTATAGCTACGGTGAGCCTCCTTGGTGCCGTTGTTGCCTTGGTGCAAAAGACTAATTCCCGCAGAATGCACATATGACAAGCCCTCCAATCGGCGGAGGAACCCTGCGCCCCAGTACATTGAGGCATTGGAGAGCCGCCTGCAGCGCGCGGAGACTCTTCTGCGCAAGTTTATCCCAGACGTCGACTTGGCTGACCCGACACTGGATCCGGCCGTCCAGCAAGAGTTCCGCAACAGAGAGCATAGCAGAATCCAGAGTGCCAAGCTCAGGCACGACCCCTTTGTAGCTCCCGAGAAGGAGGACCCCCAGCTTCTGTCCATGATCGAGTCCATTGGCCAGCTAGACCTTGACGACAAGGGCGGCTGGGACTTCCACGGCGTCTCGTCCGGTGCTGTCTTCTTGCGACGCATGAAAGAGCACTTTCGAGGCATGATGGGCCCCGTCACAAAGGTGCCCTTCCTCCCACGGCCAGACAGACCTGCGGGCCTCATCAACCTGGACTCGCCAGCATCCGCAGCCAGCTCCCCCTTCGACTCGACAATGTCCACCGCTCCGGAGCTTCCCCCGAAAGAGGTGGCCAAGAGCCTCTGCTACCTGTCGCTCAACTGCGCGACGTGTCTGATCCGCATCGTCCACGTACCGACCTTTTACCAAATGTTTGACCGAATCTACGAGAAGTCATACGACGACTACACCAAGGAGGAGCACAAGTTCCTGGGCCTCCTCTACGCCGTCATGGCCCTGGGCTGCATGTACAGAAACCTGGACGAGAATGCGCCCCCCGTGGCCTACAAGGAGTCCGTCGACGAAGGGTATGAACCTCGGAAAGCCTGTCGCGGACCGTACTAACATGTCGCAGAATGAAGTATTACGATACCGCGAGGCGTATCTTGCAGGACATTACAGAGTGCCGAGACCTGACCTCGCTGCAAGCCCTGCTCTTTATGATTCTTTTCCTGCAAGCCACCTCGAACCTGAGCGGGTGCTACGCGTTTGTTGGAATCGCCCTTCGGTCGGCCCTGCGCATTGGTCTGCACAGGTACTTGAAGCACGAGAAGATTTCCATCATTGAGCAGGAGGTGCGGAAGCGAGTATTCTGGGTCATTCGGCAAATGGATATCTACGTCTCGGCCATGCTTGGGTTCCCGCTGATGCTCAACGCGGACGACATTGACCAGCCGTACCCCAGCGAGATTGACGACGAGTACATAACAAACGACGGCATCCTGACGCCACCGCCGGGGACGTTTTCCTTCTTTGAGGCATTCAACGCCCACACCCGCCTGATGGAGATCTTGGCCAAGATCCTCAAGTTCGTTTACCCCTTGAAGGGGCTCGGCCAGAGCGTAATGAAGGGCGACAAGCCAGGAGCGACGTACCTCATCAGCTACGCCAACATTAAGAGGATCGAGGCCGAGTTGCAAGAGTGGTACGAGGTCCTGCCTGCGCAGTGGAGGCCGAGGCCAGACGGCCCCATGGAGGTTATTCGGTGGGTTTCCTGACACGACACTACAGTTGATCGAGGCTAACATATCTAGGGTGCGCCATTTGCTGCGGTTCGCCTACGCACACGTCCAACTGGTCCTCTACCGCCCGTTCCTGCACTACGTCTCCCCTCGCCTCAGCATGGGCAAGAACATTGACGAGCTCTCGTACGCCTGCGCCGCGGCCTGCATCAGCGTGTCGCGCAACATTGTGCACATTGGCATTGAGATCCGCAAGCAAAACGTGCTGGCCGGTCCGTACTGGTTTATGCTATTTACCGAATTCTTTGCCATCCTCTCTCTTGTCTTTTACTCAATTGAGAACCCAGAAAAGATTGGATCGGCAGAGGTACTGGAAGATGCCATTGCAGGCAGAGACATGGTCTCGAAGCTGCAGTCCAAGAGCCAGGCCGCCGACAGGGTCACGGAGGCCCTCAACGTAAGTCTCGCTTCAAGGTCCTGGTTGGCGCGTATACTAACTGGGGCAGGTTCTGTTTGAACAACTACCGGAGAGACTCCAGGAGGCCAAGTCCCGGCCAATCCCTACCAAGAAGCGATCGGCACCTGGGCAAAAGGCCAGCTCGATGCCGGTTCATGGGCATCCGGCCCTGCAGCCAGGCATGGGCCAGCGCCGCTCCGAGGAACTAAGTCGACCATCGAGCGTGGTGATGGCGCACGGAAGGATGGCGCAGGTACCGCTTCGCGCATCTTTTGACGGTGTGCCCATCTCCGAGGCAGGATACCAGGACCCGTCCCTGGCGAGCAACATTCAGGACCTCCTCGGGATGGACATGTCGTCACGGGCGACGCCGGATTCGGTGAGCACGTCGGCCAGCTCAACGCAGCGCCCGCCACAAGGATTCCCGCCGCCGCACAACATGAACCATATCAGCAAACTCGACTCGCTCATGTTCCCGTCAGAGGATCCGTTCGCCTACCCCAACCAACCGATGATGGAACTAGGGTACCAGAAGCCCGGGACGAACAACGTCAGCGGCCCACAGGAGACGTTTATGATGCCCGGCGCATTCGACGACATCGACACCCAGCTCCTCGGCCAGTCTCCCGCGTACTATCTCCAAGGACAGAGCCAGCAGCAGCAACATTCACACCACCAGTCTAGCTACGACCTGTCGAGCATCTACCAGCAGCACTCGGGCTACTCTGGTATGCCGGACGCGGCTCGGATCGAACAGGCACGTCGAGCACACATGCAGCAACGGCCCGCGGAGCTCGAGAGAATGCTCGCAGAGACTGGCTACCAAAGCAACTGGGCAGGCATGCTCGGCAGGAACGGTTTTCAGGGCCTATAGGCAACCATTTCGCTTCTAGTGATACCCAGCATTTATTTGGAGCCCTGCTAGTTCAGGGTGCGATCTATTTTGGGCGGGGACTATTTACACAGAGAGAGAGGATTTTTGAGCAAGAGGGAAAAGGAGACACACGGCCGTATCGATCTAGGCGTTCCGGTCATGCTTGATATGGATTTGATCAAGTTTGCATGGCATCATCATCAAGGGATGTCTGGATTGGTGAAGAGGCTCACACGAGCCTGGATTCTGGGATTCAGGGGTGGCCAAAGAGACGGGCCCCGAGGCATACACGCAGGAGAGCGTGTAGGCACACTCCCACATACAGCAGTTGTATGTAGTTGTCATTACAGCTAGCATACGTTACAATGGGACATGGAATTACCAAGACGGGGTTGCAGATGTGGTGACAATGTGTGGGGTACGGGATAAACGAGTGACAAAAGTGCGACACACGCCCCCAAGCCCAGGGACTGACAACCAACCCACTTGCGACACAAACGGCCCCCGAGGGGCGAGGGTGAGTGTGAGGGTGAGGGTGAGGGTGCAGCCGCGAAGCCGCCATCGAATGGAGTGCAGGGCATTGCAGCGCATCTGCATCTGCATCGCAGCAGGCTTGCAGGCCGAATAGTGTCCGTATCCCGTAAGGCGTGGCGCGATGGACGGCGGTGCGGGGGCGTCGCGGCGTAAGCTCTCACCAAGTTATGGATCCAAGGTGTGAAGGTTGTTTTCTCTGCTCACAGTAGTAAGTGCCCCTCCTCCACCTTGTTCCGGTTGGAGGACGGGGCTGATGCGAGAGGCAGTTTCTCCCTATCTACCCCTGTGTACCTATTGCTTTGGAACGAATTTAATGTCCAAGGTCCCCCCATTGGTTTGATGGGGTGTACGGGTGTACGAAAGGGCTCTGGAATTGATTGACGGAAAGGCATAGTGCTGGCTATTTCGTGGGATTGTACCCGTATGAGGTGAGGTATGTTTGTCGATGACGGTGAGGTAGGAATGTACAGTATAATCCCGACTGGCACGGTAGGACTGGCTCAAGGCAGGGATCGAGAAGGAGACCGTTCGATAGTATCCATACGGAGTACATTTCGCCGTTGGGGTCGACCAGGGGGGGGGCGCTCGGGGGACCGATGCTGATGGGGGCACCTGGGGGCCGTCAGCAGGAACGAACCAAGCCGAATAAGGATTTGTCTGCGAGGTAACTGGATCGCGGCTTTTTTTTGTTTTTTTTATTGTGAGTCCTTTCATAGTGCTCCTGTTCGTAGGTAGACCGTAAATGGACATTCCACAGGCAATGCAGGCCAACGGGACGCTAGAATAGTAGCGAAGCAAACAGGGCTTAGGATCATGAGGTGAAGTGGTCCAAAGACGGGATATCTCCGCTAAATCCTTACCAGAGTCTCACTGCGGGGCGCAGGAACCGCTGGGTCTTGCCTCTCACACCTACCCTTCCAAGGTACGCCGTTTCGGCACCGAACGAGGCTTGTATCCGTACACGGTACGAGAATAGTCGGGCGTAGACTCTCTCCATTCCCAAGACAGTGCGGTACCTAGGTTATGCTCGCGCAGCGAAGGGGAAACGCGGGACTAGTACGGAGTAGGGTAGTAGCTACCTACCTAGCTAGCTCGCGCCCGCCCTACCTATCATGAGATAACCGTTTGTCAGGTCCCCTCTCTTTCTCTCTTTACCCGACAGGTCCAGTTCCAGTCACTTGTTGTTGCCCAGCGGTGACCCGTAAGGTGTCATGGACTCATGGCACCCTTCGGAGGCACCGAAGCAAGCGGAGCCTCGTTGCGCTAAACAGACGAAAGCCCGGCCACCGGACGTTGGAACCTCTCTCTCTCTCTCTCTCCTTCGCAGAAACACACCCCCGTTTCCAACCAAACAAACATTTGCATTTCGCGCATTCGGGAACCAAGCACCCAAGTAGTCAAGGTACCCGCGAACCGCTGGCCCATCTCTCTGGATCGAAACAAGAGCCTTGGCCTATGGTGCCTTGTCGTGCCTTGTCACTAACAAGTGAAGAACCCGCCACGCCACGCAAGCGCCACCCCCATTTCGAGCCACAGTTCTCCAATTGGCGTGTCTCGTAATCCGTGCGTTTCTTAGCCGCAGACGACATACCATCAAACTACCTTACACTTTACCTTGCGTGCAGAAGGTACACCCGGGTTTGCTTGTTCAAGATCCCCAAATCGACAAGAGAAACAGCAAGACCATACTGCGAGGCAACGTCAGACCGCCCCTCCTCGCCCCTCCCCCTCGATTATTGACGGGACCGGACAATAATACCGCCCACGCACACAATCACACACCCCTCAACGTGACCGAACCATGGAGAGCGCCATTGATCACGATGTAGTTGTGGTGGATGAGTTCGATGCTCTGTAGGTGGAGTCGCATTGCGCGTCAGCGCTCTTCCATCTTGCTCTTCCTTGGGCCCCGTATTCCATCTTGGTCTCCCATTGTTCGCTTTTGGCTGACCGGTGTTTCGCCGCAAATAAAGGTCCATTGAGGTCAAGACGTCGGCTGAGCCGGTTGAGTCGGTTGTATCGGTTGCGCCTATCCCGACCAAGTTTCCCGGTACGCTTCCCGCGCCCTACTACCATTCACGCACTGTTCTGTCAGGTCACGGTGACAAGCGTTGCTGGGACCTTGACAGACCTGGATGGTGTCGCCTCGTATGGAGTCTAGTCATCCATCGTACCCGATCTGCGACTGTCGTGGGGGTGGTGTCCGTATTGTCCATGGGGAATGCTGACCTTGTGTGAAAGCTAAACTCCACGCCCGCAAGGTCGCCGCGGAGCTCAACGCCAGTGATGGCCTCGTTTTCCTGCCCGGTGAGCCGAGCCGCAGCTACGAGGACTCGGACATGGGTCCGACCTTTCGGCAGCGGCGATAGTATGTCTCTCCCCATGGCAGTCTAACCCCCTGAACATCTGGTCCAGGTACTGACACGCGAATAGCTTCTACTACCTGAGCGGCGCCAACTTTGCTGACTGCGCCGTGACCTACGAGCTCGCGTCGGACCGCCTTATTCTCTGGATCCCCTACGTCGAGCCGCGCCAGGTCCTCTGGTTCGGCTCGACGCCGGGTATCTCGGAATGCCTCAAGCAGCTCGACGTCGACGACGTGCGCTACACGACGCAGCTCAACAAGTTCCTGTACCGCCACCTGACGCCCGGGTCGACACTCTACGTCCTCCACGCCGACCAGATCCCGCCGCTGCTGCACGGCGACCTGCTCCAGACGGCCGCCGAGGTGCGCGTCGACACTACCTCGCTGCAGCCGGCCGCTGACCAGGCCCGCGTCGTCAAGACGGAGTATGAGGTCGCCATGATCCGCAAAGCCGCGGCCGTGTCGGCGGCGGCCCACCGCAAAGTCGCCGAGAGGCTGCTGAAGCTGGGCAACGAGAGCGAGATTGAGGCCATTTTCCAGGCGTGGTGCACCACCGAGGGCGCGCGGGAGCAGTCGTACGCCATCATTGCCGGCAGCGGCAAGAACGCGAGCACGCTGCACTACGACGCCAACGACGAGCCGCTCGAGGGCCGCGAGGTTGTCGTGTTCGACGCCGGTTGCGAGTGGCACTGCTACGCCAGCGACATCACCCGCACGCTGCCCATTTCCGGGCGCTTCTCGACCGAGAGCCGGGCCGTGTACGACGTCGTGGCGAGGATGCAGGACGAGTGCATCGCGCGCATCCGTCCCGGGACACTGTTTTTCGACCTGCACGTCCACGCGAGCCGGGTCGCTCAGGAAGGCCTGCTGAAGCTGGGCGTCCTCCGAGGGGATCCGGCCGAGGTGTGGGATGCAGGCACCGTCGCGGCCTTTTTCCCGCACGGGCTGGGACACCACGTCGGGCTGGAGGTGCACGACGTCTCTGGGCGCGAGAGGCTGCTGCTGCTGAACAAGGGGACGGGTAGGCGGGTCGGGAAGAGGGAGGTCATCACGCCGGAGATGATGAGTGCCATGGCGCAGGCGGGCGTCGGTGCCGGTGTTGGCGGTGCCGCTGCTGCTGCTTCCGTGCCGCCGCCGTATCGGGGCCGGCAGTACCTGCGCAAGAACATGATTGTGACGGTGGAGCCTGGAATGTGAGTATCTTCTCTTGTTGTCTCCTCGGATGAGGTTATCTGAGAACGTAGAAAACCTTGCTAACCAGTCAAACGAAAAAACAGCTACTTTTGCAGAGAGTACATTGAGGGCTACTTCCTCAGCAACCCGCGCCACGCGCGCTTCATCAACAAGGCGGTGTTGGAGCGGTACTACCGCGTCGGCGGCGTGCGCATCGAGGACGACATCTTGGTCACGGACGACGGGTACGAGAACCTGTCTACGGGGGCGCCCAAGGGGGAGGAGCTGTTGCGGGTTATCAACGGCAAGGCGTAAGACGTCTTTCGGGGACTGAGAGGTGATGACGATGATGATGATGAAGAAGAAGGGTTGGTTTTTGATTAGTTTTACTGGGAGCGTGAGAATGAGTTATTTGTAGATAGAGATAATGTATATATGCGCGACGGTGTTCTCACGTAACTTTGCACGATCTCTTGTGGTAGCTGGGAAATCATGCTATAATTAAGCTCATTGGGGTCTTCGCGGGCTCAATGAAGAGGAATTTCTCGTGAAGTGTAGACGCCGTGGGCTCTCTGGGTGTCGAAGACTCTCTCCTCTTTTCCCAATACGGCCTCAGAACTTGAAGCTCGTCTATATTGTAGGAAATAAATCCCGTGTTGTTTCTCATTGTCTGTAGGGAAATATACGGCAGCGAATTCTCCTTTCAACTTATTCACACCTCTCAGACACGCGGGGGATGATGAACAGGGGAACAATGAGCACAATTGTTGGTCTGGTCAACAGGGCCAGGGAGCAGCTCAGGAAGGGGGGGGAGCGTGGAGCAGCGCACCTTTTTGCCATGCCGACGTTCGCGAGGGCGGACCACTACCAGAGATGGCCTCCCCTTGGGAACGTGGCAGGTCAGCGAATATGGGCTTGGAAGAGTTTCTGCGGATGTCTTTCATGCTCGTTACCAGGTCCTGAAAATCCTATGCGTCGATTTCACCCCAGAGGACCTATGCGTCCGCCTCCTCAGCAGACACGAATTCACTCCGACGACCGAGACCATAGTTTTGAACTTTAAACATTTTCGCTTCGATATTTATGTATCTTTACTTCATCCCATCACCACCTCGTCTAGCGCCGCCGGCCACACGGTCTCTGCGTATACTCCGTCGTTCGTGTCATCTCCTCGCTTCACAATGTCCAATCATACAAGTGAGGGTAAAGTGAATCGTCCGACTGCCACTGGCCATCGTCATAATGCTGCGAGACCCCTCAGCCATAGCAAGCCCATGACACGTACCAAACGGCATCTCCGCGCCGTCTGCGACCCTCCGTCACCCCTCTCACCCCTCTCACCCCTTCCATTTACAGGTACTTCTTGGGCATCGAGTTCTTTCTCCTCTTGTACAGCAGGTACCCGACGGCGAGGACGACCTGGGATCCGACAATGACGGCAATCAGCTTGCCGTGACCGGGGGCGGCCTTGACAATGTTGGACGAGAGGGTGGCGTGGTGGCCCTCCATGTAGCCCTTGAGGGAGTGCTCCGTGTTCTTCATCTGGAGGTTCAGGTCGGTGCGCATGGCGCGGATCTCGCGCTCGAGGCCGTTGATGCGGCCCTCGAGGTCGTTGATCTTTTCGAGCTTGCGCAGCTCGGTGCGGAGCGAGTCGAGCAGCTGCGACGTCTCGGCGTGGCGGTTCTCGGCCTGCTGCCCAAACTTGTTGACGGCGCTAAAGATTGTGCCGAGGATGTGGTTGACGGACTGCAGGCGGTTGTGCAGGTCGGCGAACTGCGCCTTGGACGAGGTGATTGTGTCGGCGCTGGAGTCGGGGATGGCGTTGAGGTCAACGGGCTCGTCGTTACCGCTGCGCGGGTTGCTGGGCTGGCCGTGGTTGGCCTTTTGCTCGTGTGCCTGCTGTTGCTGCTGCTGCTGCTGCTGCTGCTGCTGCTGTTGTTGTTGCTGTTGCTGCTGCCCCTGGTTCTGCTGCTGCTGCTGCTGCTCCCCGGCGTGGAGGCTATCGGACATGACGACCATTTTAAAAATCTCAAACGAGTCTGGGTTGTCGGCGCTCGCGGCCGTCAGACCAAAGGTGTAGCCGGTGGGGATCTTGACCTTGTCGCTCTCAAAGCACAGGCGGCCGTCAATCTCGACCTTGAAGGCACGGTCGGTCTGGCGCAGCTTGATCTGGCTAGGACGGCCGAGGTTGCGGTAGTGGTACTGGCAGTGGCCAAAGGCAAGGGGGCTAATGTCGCTCTGGGCCTTGTAGTCGGTGGACCGGTCGTTGAGGAAGCCGCGCACCATACCGCCGGTGCCGCCGTAGCCGTCGACGACGAGGACGAGACCGTCGAAGCGTCCGGCCGTGTATGCGGAGCTCATGCCGACGTCGGCAGAGCCGCCGTTGGTGAGCCAGATGTTGAGGTTGCCGCCAGCGCGCTCGGGGCCGTTGGCTCGGAAGTCAATGTCGGCGATGAAGTTCTGGTGCATCACCTTCTGGGTGCTCCAGATGGAGCCGCGCTGGTTGCCGGGCGCCACGGGTGTCAGGATGATCTTGTTGGATAGGATCTCGGGTTGGTTCGGTTGTCCCTGGAGGACAAAGTTGGGGACGTGGCCGTCATTGTTTGGTGATATGCTATTGAGGTTAGCTGAGCCTCGGTGGTGCCAAGGGGGGGAACATCAGCAGTCCTACCTGCCAGAGTAACCGAAGCTGAGCTCGTTGATGAGGTATTGAGCGTGTGTGAAGCTTGCACCGAGCAAGAGGGCGAGCGTCGAGCTCAGGGGAGCTTGCGACACACGCATCGTGGGTGGTTCGAGGCAGTGCGGGAGCTACCTTGTCTGTGTGGGGAGCTGGGGGTATCAAGTGCAACAACGAAGCCGGCCGTGTGCCCACGAGGACGATCAATTGTATATTAAAATACAGGAATGCAAGGTCCTGCAATGCGGGCAGAATGGAAGAAAAAAAAAAGTGCAGACAACGATGGGATCCAGAAAAGCGTGGGAACAATGTGGTTGGAAACCCGCCAAGTCGAGAAACTCCCAAGCAGGGGTTGATGGTGCGTGTCTGTGGGTTGAGGACAGGTTGGCACTAAAAAGCGTTCAAGACAGCAGCAGCAGCAGCCAGCTATGCGGATAAGCTCCTGGACTGCCCTTTTTGGACGGGGCGTTTTAGCGTTAAAGGCGTTGGATTCTTGACGAGAGTCAATTGCACTGCAATCAAATCAGCTCTAGCGGCAATCCGATGGTATCCCTCTGCATCATCTCAATGCCTCTCAGGTAGTGAAGTCTCGTGATGATGGACTCTAGACCACGAGCTTGGATTCTGTTTCGCTGTCTCAAGAGCGTGCTCAAGAGCTTTTGCTGGAGACACTGGCGAAAATAAAGGGACCCAGGTCCACCGACCTGGAGTTGCATGGCCCGAGCTGGAATGCGAAAGGGATTCTGGAAAGAAAGACACCTTCTGCTCGGTTCCTTGCAGACGTGGCGGGGAGCTTCTGTTCGATTGTCATTGTGGCTTTGAATATGTGGCTTGCATGGGGTAGTACGTATCGTTAAAGAGTCCCGTCGCGTCTCCAAAAGACAGCGACTGGTTTCACCGCGATGTCGCACGGGCCCAACGTCAACCCCTGCCCATGGCCCCTTCTCCAAAAAAAAAAACCCCAAGCTGCAGCTCCTTCCATTGAGCAGGACCCCTGACGACACCGGCCAAGGTGGCCTGTGAAATTCCTCCCACCTCCTCTCGGCCACCGACCACTCCAGTGAAGCTCTCACGGCACCGCCCAGATCAATGCGGATTACCTACTGACCGGTTCTCGAACGCGCCACAATGGCCGAATCGTATCCGACCCTCACGCAGTGTGCCCTCGTTGCCGGCGCACTCAAAGTCCTCCTCTTCCCGGCCTAGTATGTGGTGGTCCCCTCTCCCCCAGCTTGAAAGATTCCCAGCTGACACGTCGCGCAGCAAATCCACCGATTTCGAAGTCCACCGCAACTGGCTCGCCATCACCAACAGCCTCCCGCTATCAGAATGGTACTACGAAAAGACGTCAGAATGGACCCTCGACTACCCTCCCTTCTTCGCCTACTTTGAGTGGGCCATGTCCCAGGTCGCCAAGCTCGTCGACCCGGCCATGCTCAAGCTCTACAACCTGGAATACGATAGCTGGCAGACGGTCTACTTCCAGCGATGGACCGTCATCATTTCTGAGCTGGTGCTCGTCTACGCGCTGCAACGGTAAGTCTGCTTATCTACCCGTCGCATCGACTATACGCTAAGGTCCAGGTTCATCGACTCTGCCACCGGTCCCACGAGACGGGCTGCCCAAGCTGCTGCCATCTCCATCCTGTTGTCGCCCGGCCTCCTCATCATTGACCACATTCACTTCCAGTACAACGGCGCCATGTACGGTGTGCTCATTCTGTCCCTCGTGCTGGCCAGGTCCAAGTCGGGTTTGCTGGGCAGCGGATTGGTCTTTGCTGCGTTGCTGTGCATGAAGCACATCTACCTGTACCTCGCGCCGGCTTACTTTGTCTTCTTGCTGCGCGCATACTGCCTGTCGCCCAAGTCCATCTTTAGGATTCAGTTCCTCAACTGTGTCAAGCTGGGTGGTGGCATTGCGGCCATCTTTGGGGCTGCCTTTGGCCCGTTTGCTGCCCTGGAACAAATCCCCCAGATGATGAGCCGGCTGTTCCCCTTCTCGCGCGGCCTCTGCCACGCCTACTGGGCTCCGAATATCTGGGCACTCTACTCGTTTGCCGATCGCGTTCTGATCTATGGTATGGTTGACCGCCACAAGACTATCAAGACAATAGACTGACACATTGCAGCCGCACCCCGCCTCAACCTGCCAGTCAAGGCCGAGGCAATCAACAGCGTCACCAGAGGACTCGTCGGAGACACGGCCTTTGCCGTCTTGCCAGAGATCACCCCGCGGACCTGCTTTGCTCTGACGCTCTTCTTTCAGGTGCTGCCATTGATCAAGCTCTTCTTCCAAGCACCCCCCACATGGGATGCCTTCATCGGGGCGGTAACGCTCTGCGGTTATGCCTCGTTCCTTTTCGGATGGCATGTGCATGAAAAGGCCATTCTCTTGGTCATTATCCCCTTCAGCCTGATCGCTCTCAAGGATCGTCGTTACCTTGGCGCGTTCCGGCCGCTGGCTGTGGCTGGCCATGTGTCTCTCTTTCCCCTACTCTTCACCTCGGCCGAGTTCCCAATCAAGACGGTGTACACCATTTTCTGGTTGGTGTTGTTCCTCATGGTGTTTGACCGCTTGGCCCCGGCTTCGCGCAAGGCGAGGTTCTTTTTGCTGGACCGGTTCAGCACGTTGTACATTGCCATCAGCATCCCGCTGATTTTCTACTGCTCGCTGCTCCACCAGGTTGTGTTTGGGAAGCGGTACGAGTTCCTGCCACTCATGTTCACCAGCTCGTACTGCGCTGTAGGCGTGGTTGGTAGCTGGATCGGATTCATGGTTGTCTATTTCACGTCATAGAATGGGTGTGTATTGCTACCTTAGGTAGACATAGAATTACAGTCGAGACAAAATACGGTGAAACTTTTGCGTGCCAGTGCCACTGAGTTGCCGGAGGTCTAAAAGAGACGCTTGGTCCCGTGGGGGCCTAGCTGGCGGGAGCCAATGAAAACCCGCGTCTCACGTGCCTGGAGGCTGACAGCAGCACCGGCTCCACTACAAGTACCTTACCAGGAGGGAAACTACCATTTTGGAGCTAACGGCTGAGCAGGGGGACCGGGGGTCGTGGGCCATTTGGACATAGCCCATTGTATGCCACGAACAAGCCAAAGAACAAAACAGACACTTGTCGTGCACAGCTTGGGCGATGCACTATCGGAATTTGAGTGATTGACTGCGGTACAAGGTAATTGCGCCAAAATCACTTACACGGAGCCCGGAGGCCCGGAGCGGCCGCGGCGGTCCGTCCCGACGTTGATATCATGACCGAGAGGCCGCAAGGCGTGTCGGTAACACTTGGAATTACGTGGACGAGTTCGTAACAATGTGATAGCTTGTATGGGCACGTTGAATCACGTTTATATGTGGTGTGGTGGTAGAACGGTGCTCATCCGGAGCTGGCCCCGAGGAGGCAATTGACGAAAACTAGGCTACCCTCAAGGGCCGGAAGACGTGCAAGACATATCACGGCATTAATCGACCAAATCGTGGTATTCGTGGCTATTTGAGTGCTCAATCGAAAGCCCCAGCCATGGCGAACCCAACGAGTACAAATTCGCGGGTGGCCGACGCGGTTGTGGGATTCCCGAGGCGGACGGAGTCGTGGCGGGTGGAGGAGGGTAAGGAGGCCTGGTGCGCAGGCGCCTGGGAGATGGGATGCGGAGGCACCGTGGGCCGAACGGGCCAAGCGGGCCAGGACCGCTTTTCACTGGCGCCCTTCTTCTCTTTTTCCCTTTCCTTTCCTCCTCCCCCCCAAAGCTCACCACTTCCTTTCCCACCTCTTGTTTTTTTTTTCCCCCGTCGTTTCACCCACGACTCGCAGGCTGCGCGTTTTCTCACCAACCCGCGACCACAACCACGAACCATCGATATCGTCATTTATACAGCCATCTCCGACACGTCATCTGCGAGCCGCACCGCGTCCCCCGCGAGTCTCGCGTGTAAGTGCACCCGCCGACCCGTCCTCCCCCTGCCCGACACCCACGACCGCGCCTCCGCTCGCTCCGGCCGCGACCACAACACACCCGCCAGACCGCCACAACGCGTTTCCTTTGCCCAGCAAATGGTCCTCGAGGTTCTATAGGACCACTTGTACGGTTGAAGACAAGGTTGGCTGGATTTCAGCCCCACCGCGCAATCGGAACCTCGAATCTTGGGCCATGCCATTGTAGCCAACAGCCAACATGGTACGGCCTCCCGACGCGCTCTCCGGGGTCGCAGATCGCTGACTTGAGGTACAGGTCCTCTTCAAGCGTAAACCGGTGCAGTTTCTGGCTCCCAAGGACGTCAAGGATGATAATGCAGAGGTTCGCAGAGTGACATTTACAAACGTTGCGACGAGTACTGATGCAGGCCCCCAGGTCTGGCATATCCCACAGACCGGCGAGGTCTTTGCCCAATATGAGGATTATCTTACGAGGTGAGTTTTTTGTCGTCACTTTTTTCGTTTCCTTTTCGGCTTCAGCTAATGCGGTGAAGAATGGATTTCTACAAACAGGTACGTCCCAGGCCAGGTGGGGCTTCGGGCCAAGACTAACCCCAGCGTGTAGCGGCGCTTCATCTGCCAGATCACAGGGCACTCCGGCCTGACTTTTTTCGAAGCACTCAAGAGCGAAGTTCGTCCCGCCATTTTCCACTGCCGCGCAAACCTGCTGACATGACGATAGCTCGCCGGTGCCGAAGAGGTTGAGCAAGCCTTCCCCGAAGCTCTCAAGGGCCCCGTCCTGCGTCGCGTCCAATTCCAAACGGTGTCCCGAATCGATGCGCTTGTCGACTTGGTCTTTGACGAGTTTAGAGCCGACTACTACCCGGGCGAGGCCGTGACCGTTAGCACGGCCGAGAGCGAGAGATTGCAGGGCGTCGTGCGAGAAAAGACCCGGTTCGGCGGCAAGATTTTGCCAGACGGCACCCAGACCGCCCCTTATACACGCTACACGGTCAGCTTGGAGGAACGCCCGGGTATCGAAGCTGTGGTCGACGACGACCACATCTTCCGCGATCGCAAAATATTTACAAAGTCGGTGCTGCGCTCCTTCATCAAGAAGACGGTGACGCGCGAGGCATGGAACGGAGCGCCGTGGCTCGTGAAGCACGATGTGGCGGCACAGTACCACATCGATTCCAGGGTCCCGCCTCACCTACGCTACGACACCAAGTTGATGGAGAGGAAGCAGCTGCAGGCCCAGAAGCGCGCCAGCCAGACTCCGACGCAGGACGGCAACGGCACCAACGGTGTTAACGGCGCCATCCAGAACGGCCCTGCGCGGCTGCCCGAGCTGAAGCCCGCATTCAAGAGCCAAAAGGGCAAGCATCAATCGCCAGAGTTCCCCCAAGGCCAGAATGGCTCGCCAAACATGGCGTCCGAGGCTGGCATCTTCCACGCCCCGCCGCACAAGAACCCCTTCCAGCTGCCCCTCAACTTCCGGAATCAACCGCTACCGCACTCCATGACTGCGCCCGAGCCACCGCCGCCGCCACCACCACCAAAGTACCCCATCGAGGATCTCCAGGTGCCTCTGAGAGAGGGCGTCGTCAGACCCGCCCTGGCGTTCCTCTGCAACGACCCCCCGACCGCCTCCGACGTGGCTGTGAATGGCAGCGCAAGCATACGCGACAAGCTGTCGATGAAGTCCATTGGCTCGTTTTTGGAGACGTGGGATACCCTGAATGTGTACTGCGAAATTTTCAAGCTCGACTCGTTTACGTTTGACGACTTTGTGGAGGCCATGTCTGTCGCATCTGAGGAGACCAAGGTCCAGCTGTTTGAGGAAATCCACTGTGCGGTGCTCAAGCAAATTGTGAGTGCCGAGGCAGACGGCGGCAAGGTCAATGTCCAGCTGCCCGAGCTAGAGGACGAAGAGGAGGACTCTGAAGAAGAAGAAGATGAGGAGACCAAGGAGCCGACCCCGGAAACCGATCGGCCGCCTGCGAGGGCCACACGGAGCAGTCTCGCCAAAGCCGAGGCCGAGAGGCTGCTAGCCGAGGCGAGGGCAGCCGAGAAGGAAAGCCAGAATGTGGAGCCCGAGATCAAGCACCGCGCCGAGGACCTCCTTGAAGAGTACGACTGGATCGAAGAGCTCAGGAAACGCAATTTCCAGAACGGCGGCTGGGAGAGAATCGTCGTCGGTCTGCTGCACCAGCTCTCCAAGAACGAGAGGATGGAGGAGGCGTGCGAAGATTTGCTCGCCCAGCTGTGTCCTCCCGACGAGGACCCCACCCAAGAGACGGTGCAGGAGCACTATGCTCGACTCGACGTCAACTACCGTGTGCAGGCGTTGCAGATCATCTGCATGCTCACGACGCAGACCAAGGCGATGCGTACCTACATGGAGGAATGCAGCGAGCAAATGACGGCGTTCCGTAAGGAAAAGATTGACTGGCAGCGGCAGAGAAAGCAGGCGTACGTGACACCAAATGTTTTGATGAATTTATTGCTGACCCCCCGACAGCATCGAGGAACTGCGTGCTCTCAACGACCAGCGCAAGATCATGCTACCCGACAACATGCCGCCGTCGCCGCCTCCCGAGCCAAAGGCAGACGAGGATGTCAAGATGACGGACGCAGACGAGTCGGCAGCTGACGCCGCCGACGCCGAGGACGAAGTGGCCGACTCTGACGAGGAGGGAGCACCCCGCAGGAACTTCCGCCGCGCCAACGACCGTGCCGCGGAGAGGCAACGCAAGCGCAAGGAGGAGCTCGAGCGGAAAGAAAAGGCCGCCGAAGCCGCAAAGGCACCCAAGCAGTCAAAGCAGTTCCTCAAGGTCCTCAAGGATATCCAGAAGAAGGAGGACTTTATCAAAAAGTGCGAAGACGAGATCGCCGTGATCGATAACGACCTCCGCGAAGCCGACTGTGGCCGGACCCGTGTCTTGGGTAAGGACCGATTCTGGAACCGGTACTACTGGTTCGAACGCAACGGAATGCCGTACGGAGGGCTCCCGGACAGCTCAACCGCTGCTGCTGAGTACGCCAACGGTTGCATATGGGTGCAAGGCCCCGACGAGCTGGAGCGCCAAGGATACATTGACACCGACCCCGAGTACCAGGCCGAGTACCAAACCAAATTTTCCATGACGGTGCCGGAGCGGAAGAAGCTGGAAGAGGGCCCCACCAGCGTCTTCAACGCCCACCAGTGGGGCTACTATAGCGAGCCGGAGCAGGTCGATGAGCTCCTCAAGTGGTTGGATCCGCGGGGCTTCAACGAGTTGCGACTTCGGAAAGAAATCGTGGCGTTCCGGGACAAGATTGTTCAGCACATGGAGAACCGCAAGACGTATCTTGCCGCCGCGGAGCCCGAGGAGCAGCAACAGCAGGAGGAGGAAAAGCAAGAGAAGGAGAAGAAGGGCAAGAGGCGCGACTCGAAGCGCATGAGCACCAGAGGCCGCCAGCACGAGCCGACGCCCGAACCCACAAACTACCGCTGCCTCGCGTGGGAGAATTCCACGGCGATGGAGGAGCTCGGCCATCTCCACTCGGAGCCGCCGCCGCCTCCGAGACCAAAGAAGCAGACCGTCAAGAAGCGACAGGCCGTGGAGCCGTCGCCCGAACCCGCGCCCGCGCCCAAGACGAGGCGACGCAAATAGGCAGAGTATCCTGCCGATAGTCGACCGCGGGCTGCCACTGTAGGCAGTCTCCGTCTTCATTCTTCTTAACTGTAATTATAGACATGTTTTTGCGCTCATGACGATACAAGGGACACTGCTGGCGCGCGGGTTGTGTGAGCCGAATTCCCCCCACAGTTAGACATGGTTGGAGTTTTACGAGCCGAAATCGGGTCTGGCTGAAACAAAGAAAAAGCGGTGTTGTGTTTTTTGTGAGCAATTGAAAAGAATGTCGTGTCACACACAGCATGGCCCGACGTTGGTGAAGGATTTCCATTTAGCATTGGGGCGGGCTGGCTGTATCTGGGCGGACGGCGCGCGTGGTCTCTGCATATTCGCTACATGGGGCCGGGATTATAGACTCTCCAAAAGAATCATTTTGATGACGATCACGGTTTTGTGGTATTGTTACCAAGTGAGTTTGCTAAGCCCTATTGGTGTATTTTTATCTATAGGTCTGGGTGCTGCGATCCTCGCCCGAACCTGGCCCTAGGTTGGCGAAGCTCCTTGCCAAAGACCTTGGCCGGCAAGGGACGTGACATATATCCTGCTACTGCTCTTTACTTGTCTATAGAGTGAGTCTGTCTGCCACGTACCAATGGTCTCGAGGCTTACATGTCAACAGATATCGGTACGTCTGCTAACGGAGCGACTAGCTGGGGGTCTCTAAGATGCCGAGTTCGACGAGCTACTTGAACGAGGTAATCAAAAGCTGTGGAGATCAATGACAGTGTGTTTGTCTTGTAACTTGCGCCACTTTCTGAGAGTACGGCGAGCGACCTCAGACTGGAGTTGGAGTCCATTCCAGTGTTCTCGACTGCTTGATGCCGTGCTCGAGTCGGCCTGTCCTTTGTCTCTTGCAGGGATACTCTGGTGGGTCTGATATCGAACGCTCGCGCTTTCTTGTTTGGCTCTGCGTGGCTGAAGAGTAGCTATACAACGAGAGGGTTGCAGATGCCTCATCGTCGTAGAACTCGTCGTCGGAGAACTCGTCGTCGGCGTCATAATTGTAGTCTTCATCGTTGTAAGCTCCATCGTCAGCCTCATAATCGTAGTCTTCATAATCGTAGTTTTCATCATCGCACTCTCTACTAGCAGCCACCGGATAAAACCGCTTGCGAGGCATGTTCGCCGTCCACTCGAAGTCAGCCTCATCCTTCCACCAGTGCCCGCGGCGCGCCCTCTCTAGATACTTGGACGGAATCTCATACCCGCTCACGCGCGTGGGCTGCTCTTTAGGAACCAAGTGCCTAAAGTTGTACCGTCGGATCTCTTTCGATAGCTCGTCAGCCTTTTCGTTGCCGACGATACCAACGTGGCCGGGACACCAGCACACAGCGACCCTGATGTTCCTCTTATCCCGCAGAGAGCCGCACGCCTCAAAGGCGCGTTTGACGAGGGGATCCAAGGCGCTGGGGTAGGAGCCCTCCGCTGCGGCGAGCGTGTTCATGACGCCCTGACAGTCGGAAAAGATCGTGACCCGTCTCAGGTCCGGCATCAGGTGGGCTAGCAGCGTCGCCGTCTCGAGGGCTGCGACGACGGCGTAGAGTTCTGCTTGGCGGGAGTTGTGGCACGCGAGGATCTGGAATGCGCGGGAGTGCCACGGGTCGACGGGGTCTGTACACGGCCACGGCTTCCAGAAGACGGCGGCGCCTGCTGGCGCGGACGGCTTCGAGGGCCCCTTGTGCCAGTCGTGTCCGGGGAACGAGGCGTCGGCGAAGAGGTGGAGGGTGTGTTGGCTTGGGTCCGCGATTGATGCACACGTAGGGCTGATGCGGGCTTGTGCGTTTGGTAGGATGATGAGGTCGCCTTTGAACGTGAGACTTGGAGTGTTGGTGATGTGTCGACTTGGTTCAGGGGAGTCGGTTGCATCGGTAGCTCCTGTTGAGATGGTGACATGATTCTGTTCCGAAGGATTGGGTATAAGTGTAGGTGACTCCATTCCGATTGAGGACGATGGCTGGGCTATATTTTCGTGAACCTTCGTACTGGCCCGTCTTGCGAAGAGAATTTCAATTACGAGCAGTATCCGGCGGCTCTTGAACTATACTCAATGAATACAGACGGGAAGAAATGTGAAGGACGTTGAGGGCAAGCATCCTGGGCATTAGCGTCTAGAGTCATAAAGTCGAGCTCATGTATCTCCGATGAGTCTCAGCCCGTCCAATGTGACCCAAGATGACTGCGAATCTTAATCTAGGCAAAGACCCATCACATTTGATCTCATTGAGGACCGTTGTGCCTTGGAGGCTTCTGGTGCACATGCTTTTGGGTTCAGGCGAGCAACCTCTTTGGTGGAATCAGTCTATATTGTGAATGGACCGCATACAACGAATACACTGAAATGGTATCCTGCCGGTATAACAAATTTCGCGATAGCTTCATTTCAGTAAAGTAGTCATGGCCATCTTACACGACGTCTCGTGATGACGTCATGGTTCATGGACCCCTACTTTACTGCAGCGAGCTAAACCATTATCGCTATCGGACACGCTTCCATCGCATTCCCCTTTCGGAATGCGAGGTTCAGCTCACTGTCTGATTTCATCTCACTCATGGACTCTCCGCCATGGAGCAGACTCACTCTATCTCATTCTAGCGACAGCTTCTCTAGCCGAATGGGCAATCATCTCATTCCTAATGACTTTCCTGGCTCATCGGTGCTCAAAAATCTCACTTCATCCCACCCCAGCAAACCCCCTTTGAACCACTACACGGGACGACCTCGACGATGCCAGCATCCAACCCCTCCACCTCCCCAGACGCCACGCCTCTGACCCTCCGGTTCATCGACCCCACTGACCCAGAGCCGAAGAAGAAAAAGGCCCACAGGAAGAGCAGAGGTGGCTGTACACCATGCAAACGGAGGAAGGTGAAGGTAATAGGTCCCAATGTCTCTCAGTCGAGGTCACCCAGACTCACACAAGACTTACACGGGATCCAGTGCGACGAATCAACCCCCTGCGCGAACTGCATCCGCCGCAACGAACCATGCGCACGCCCGCAAAAGGCCTCCACCCCAGAGACGACGTCGTCCTCATCGCCCGCCGCCGGTACAGGACCGGCACGGCCGGTAGACGCCTCGGGACCCGTAAACCTCCTCCACATGCAACTCCTCCACCACTTCCAGCACGCGGCGATCCCCACCCTCTGCTTCGCCGACGTCTGGGCGTCAGTCCTCCCGCTGGCCTTCCGGGCAGAGTACCTCATGACGGCCATCCTCGCCGTCTCGGCGCGGCACCTCAGCACCCTCAGACCAGAAGACGCCGTCTACAGGGAAGCGAGCCTGGCTCTCTTGTCCCGCAGCTGCGCGCTCTTCGGCGCCGAACTCGGCCGGGACGACGTGGCTGGGGGAGGGTACGACTCTCTCTTCTTCACGGCGCAGCTTATACACTACCTCACGTGGTGTAATCTCGAGTTCAGCGATGGCTCCGACGACGCCGATACCGCTCTCGACCTCTCCCGGGACCAGCTCTTCCTTCTCAGCTCCGGCGTGCGGGTCTTCCTCTCCGGGACTCGGGCGCAGGGAACAGACAGCATCTTTGCCAGGGCATGGCAGGACGCCCCATGCGACGCCCTCGACAAGATCGTCGCGGAACAAGGCATGGATCGCGGCCGGATTCAGAGAGCCTTTACGGATCGATACGATGAGATGACACCCAAAGACCAAGGCACCACCCCGGAGCACCACAGTCACGCGGATCGTCAACGCGCCGCCTTCGCCGGCATCGTGGAACGGCTGTCCGTCATCATGGCCCTCTGGCAACACCGCAGCACGAATCACCAGCCCCCCGCGACGCCCGACCTCGAGCGATACATCCTCGCCTTCCCGCTGTTTTGCTTCGGCCCGTTCCTCGACATGATTGTCGCAAACGACCCAAGGGCGCTGCTTCTATTGTACCACTTTTACGAGACCTCGCGATTGCTTCTCGGGGAGGACGATGAGAAACCCACGTGGTGGGCGTGTGACAGACTCAGTGCCATGCCAAAGATGCTTGAGCAAGAGTTGCGTAGGAAGGGTATACAGCCTGTGGTGATGTGAACCGGGTCTCGGGTTGAATCTGTTGTTGATCAAGATGATGGCAACTGAGTCAGGGACAGACTTTCGTCACAGCACATTCCTCGCGCAGGGGATCGCCAGCCCTGATGAAAAGACAAAGACGCCACCAGAAAAGATAAGCAAGAGAAAACAAGGCGTTCCCAAGGTGGCAAGAAGGTTGAAGAATGTATCGCGGAATGCGGACCCAACCATCTATCGGAAACCGCATACCAGCCACCACAGCAAGGGACGCGAGAAGAATTACCGTCTACAATCCCCCTCTTCACTACTAGCAAAGAAGCTTCGTAAATAGATCAACAACTCGTTCCATTACCAAGAACGCAATCCTCCCACTACCAACGAGGCCGTCGCATACCCTATCTCCCCTCCCTCCCTCTTCACGCGCCGCCGCGTCTAAAAGTGTTTCCCAGTCCAATGTGGCGTGCCGGAGCAACCCACCCAAAAGTTGCCAAAACGGGCCAGCTGAGACGCAGGGAGCTCTCCCGATACGGTTAAAGCGTAGAATAGCAGGGCTAGCTCCCAGGTTAGCGGTACCTCTTCCAACCACCAGCAAACGGCAAAACGCACGACCTTTGGAGGTTGCTAAAAATCCTCCCGCCTGAAACTCTGAGCATTCCTGTATCGGTGGCAGGGCGGGCTAGACGGAGCTAGAACGGGGTATCCACATTCGCGGGGTCCAGAACCGCGCCGGCGATCTCTCGACTTGCAAGTTAGACTTCTTTTCTTAGCCAGGCGTCTGTGGTAGCGCTGGCGTTATTTCCCTTTCTTCACGATAGCAGTCTCGAACAAGCACGGTAGAGTGTCGCTCCATTCCGGAGACTTGGTGATATAGTATTGATGGAAATGTTTCTTCTCTGTGGGTATCAAAATAGATGTGACAAAACAAAAACTCCGCTTACACACTTTTCCCACCTCGTGTGCTCCCTATGCAATTCTACCTCGGCCTGTACCGTTCCCATAACGCTCTTGTAATGAGCCCAGGGGCTCCCAGCCCCAGCTCAAACGGCCCCCTCACCGGCTGGTCTCTGTTGGACGATCTCGCCGGCAGGTATGGCGGGGGCGGTGACGGGCTTCGGGGGGAAGACACCGTCGTAGTGGTGGTGGTTGTTGTCGTGAGGGACGCCGGCGGGGCCCCTTGGAGGTACTCGCTCAGCTCGCTAGTGTCCATCCCAGGCCTAGTGGCGTCCACTACATGGCTCGTTTGGGTGGCAGGGGCCGATGGGTCTTGTTCGACCGTGCTCGTCGGTGATAGCGGACTCACACTCGCATACTGATGCGCAGATGTCTCGTTCCTTTGTGCGGTGCTGGACGAAGCTAGGGCGGCGAGCTCGAGATCCTCCTCTGACCTGCCCGCGGCACCCCGCACGACGACGCCGAGCAGTCCGTCCGTCTCATCCAACGCCCCCATCTCCTCCCGACTGGCCCGGCCTACTAGTGGAAAGTCCACCGAGTCTCTCAAGTGTGCTCCCAGCCTCATCATGGCAAAGGCGTCCAAGGTGTCGGTCCAGGTGGGCAGGCTGTAAATGTAGCAGACGAGAATAATGAGTGCAATGGCTTGCATGCTGATGAGCAGGCTAATGGCGACGGTGGCGCCCACGGTGTACCGCGGTGCGACAAACTCGGTGCCGGCCAAGTTGTAAATGGTCCTCGCGGCGTCGTTGGATGCGGCGTCTTGTAGGACGGCCACGTTGGACAAGTACATGCCGACGCCGAGAGTGCTCTGCGCCACCTTGACGTACTGAAGGCCTTGTGCGATCCGGAACAGTGTCTTGGGGAGCTCGGCAAGCGAGCATCCCTGGTAGATGGACGAGTACCACGAGTCGTAGTCGTCGTTGTGCGAGTTGTACGGCAGCTGCCATGCACCGAGGGGCGTCGGCAAAGAGCACGCCCTGCGTTTCGCATCGCTGTCGGACGTGGTGTTGTCGGGCACTTGGCCATCCGGGAAGGTCTGACTCAAGAGATCAAGCACAGCCTGTGGGTATGAGCCGTTGCCAAAGAGCGCCTCGGCTGTTGACCGCAACGGGCCTTGTCTAGAGGTCCAGCCGGAAAATCGGTCGCGGTTCCAGTCGTTTTCAGACTCGTTGGTGATGAGGTTACCCTGCCAATCGTAGTCGTGGAAATGCGCTGCCATGTCTTCGTCCGAGGGCCACTCGCCGATGATGTCGGACGGAACAAGTCCCGTTTGAAGGTTGCCAATCTCGAAAAAGGCACGGGTGGTTTTGGCGATACACTTGATGGTGACGTTCTGAGCCGGTTCCGATAAAAAGTCCTGAGTCTTTGCCGCCTCTGGACTAATCTGCGCGTCAATGTAGAGCACTTCATCAACGTCTTGTCGTCGCCTCGGCGGGACCCCACGGGGTGCAGGGCTGGTGTTGTTGCGAGGCATGCACGTTCTCACACTGATGCCGAAGCCTTGGAGGGACGTTGCATATCCATCGCAGTTGGCGGGGTACTCGTCTGCAACCTGGCAGGCTGCGGTTGAGCTGAGCCGGATCGAGTGCTGTCGGAGCGGTCCCGTCGTGACGCCGGCGGGAATTGCTGACACCCAGAAAGAGTCGTTGTACGTCTGGTCCTCTCCCGTGACGAAGCTCCGGTGGTTGTCTTCGGCTCGCCACAGGTTTTCTTGGATGTCGGCTGACGTGATGTTGACCATCTTTGTTCTGACCGTGGTAACGATTTGAGATGCGTTGGACTCTCGGAGCAAGATGGGCTCGGCATCCTTGCCAATTGCCTGGGCTGGCTGTCCCTTGCCGTCGCATGTCCGGTCCCATTTGCTCAATGGTCGAAGACTGTCGCATGAGTACACCGGGCGGCTCGATGGCGGCATCAGCAGTGACTGCAGTGGCGGCTGTACGGCAGCTGTTGCATGTCAGAAGGAGTAGTCACGCTCAAAAGACTTGTAACGTACTGAGAAGAAGCAGTCCGGTGGCCAGCAGGAGATAGGACGACGACTGTCCACTCGAAACAAACGCTGTCCATTTCAAGTCGGAAATAGCAAGCAGCTGTCTCACGGTGAGGGTCTGCTGCTTGGATCGGCGCTGCGAGAAGACGACTGCGCCGTAGGCTAACAACGCGGCAACGCACGGCAGAGCAATAACAGCCGCCACAGTGCTGAAAAACGAAGCCGCAGCGATCCAACGGTGATATGAGTCGAGGTCTTGCCGCATAATGATTCCCCACGGGTCGGATGTCGTTTTTCGGTTAATAATGCAAACGCAGAGCCATGGTGCGACGAGAAGCACCAAGTAGGTGACGAGTATGTAAATCGGGCGGCGAGCGTACCGCAGTGGTTGCCGAGACATGTCGACCGGCTTCGAAGCCGTGTATCTCGGCGGCGGTCCTTCTGTTCGAGTCTGATTCCTGTCCATCGTGACTGTCCTTTTTGGAAATAGAAAGGACGTGGAACAACAGACGGAGGAAGACACAATCGTATTATGGCAATTGCCATGATTGCTTAATTGGCTGTTTGGCGCCTTTTTAGTTTGCCGCGAGGCGTTTGCACGGTCGCCAAGGGCTGGCTGACGGCAGCTGACCGCAGGGCGAATGCTGCAATTTCCCTGCGAGCCTAGAGGAATGCGTGCAGGAATGAAGTGATGGGGCACAGCGTGCACAACATCCTTCGGGACGACTACTTGCCACGCATGTTTTGCTTTTGAGACCAGTCAGTGCGACGGAGCGGGACATGGCATAGCTCTGCCGGTGCCAAATAAAGAGTGTGCAGGATAAGGCCGTCATTCGGGCATTCTGTCGCTTGTGCATCCCCGTGTGTGTTGATTTATTCCCCATTATAAGTGTCCTGGCCGTAGGTCTCGTTGAGTGTTACGCGCGTTATAATTTCTTCGTTTTCCATGCGGACCCAGCTCTCCACCGACATGTCTGGGTCGTCGCCCTGCGTGAAGGAGAGCTTAATCATCCGAGCGCCGCGTTCCCAGGTGCCATACCCGCCGTAGCCCGTGTGCTTTGCAAAACAGAGGAATGGGGCCTCGGCGCCGAGTCCGGCCTCGTGGCCGGGCCAGGTCGAGCACCACGAGTCGCCGTGGTCGTGCCCAACATAGATGCTGTGGAGACCCTCGGCCTCGAGCAGCGCCTCGACGAAGGGGGCGTCCTCTCCGCCCTCGCCTTGGATGGCTAGCGGGCTGTCGGCATTCAAGCCAGGGAACTTGGCGGGGTCGAGGTTGGTCTGCTGGGCAGTTAAAAAGATGTGAGGGGGGATGTGGACAAAGGCGACGCTGGGAATGACACGACCATGCTTGTCCTTGAGGTCGTCGTAGGTTTTGGTAAACCATTCGGCCGTCTCGGGGGCAACCCAGTTTGGAATGTCGTCCATGTTATCGGAATCCGTCTGGTAGCTAGTGCCGCCCCGGCTGTCAAAGAACCACAATAGCAGAATGGGGTCTTTGGAGTCTCCCTCGTAGACAGGGACGTAGTAGTTTGTGATGCCCGGGAGATTGTCGCCCATGGACGTTGTGTAACAGAGGTCGTAACCTTTTTCGGCACGGAACAGCTGCTCGCGGTCCAGCGTGTGCTTGGAGTCGTGGTTCCCGTAGACGGATGCCCACCGCTGGTTCGTCTTGACGAGGGGCGCGACAATCTGGTCAATGTAGAGCGTCGAGTTCTCCTTGTGGGTATCCTCGCCAGTAATGAGATCGCCATTGAATACGATGAGGTCGGGCTGTTCGCTCTTCATGACAGATTGCATGACTCTGGTGGAATTCTTGTCCTGGTCAATGCCCCAGCCAAATTCCTGCTCTCCATAGTGCAGATCGGAGAAGATGGCAATGAGGTAGTCGCGCTGGCCCGACACTTTGAGTCTTGGCTTGCTTATTGACGGCTCCGTCAACGGCCACTTGCCGGGCGAAATCTTGGTCATCATCATGAACATGGCCGCGAAGCTGATGGAGAAGACCAGGACGAGCTGACACACCCTCTCGGCCAGTCGAAAGGATGACTGCGGCGGGCGCGGCTGCACCGCCTGCTCCAGC